GACTTTTCAGCAGCACTTAGTGGATTTACTGCATATTTAGAGTAGCATGGATAATATTATGCATGTGTTTCACTCATTAAAGCAGAAAACTAGAAATTATAGTTTTTCTAAGATGCATTGGGTTTTGTATTTTATCTTTGAATTTGCTCAACTTCTGTATCATACAGTCCAGAACATACTAGCCACAACGTTGAGAGGTGACTCCAATACATGCAATATCTCCTCCTGTAGACTCTGATTTTACTCACCTAAAACGGGGAGGATTCAAAAATAAACAAAAACAAATATACTGCAGATATGCCTCCTATTTCAAAGCTTTACGTATGCAGTAGTACTTGACCAAACTCATTTACCTTTGTATAGCTGTAATCTTGATGTAGAGTAGTATCAGTTACAAATGAGTTGGCATCTCTTTGCAAAACTGACCTCTTGTTTACAATTTTATACTAATCCCCTTACTGATCTTTCAGTATTGAATTTATTTGCTTTTGCAGTGCCCTACTCTCTACTGTCTGAATATTAAATGTGTTTGTTTTCCCAGAGGGCTAGAGAACACTGGACAAAAGGGTTAAGCAGGAGAGAGTGAAATAAAAAGAGGTTGTGAGTCTTTAACCTTGAGCCTGAAATGAATGTGAACCAAACTCAAGATACTTGGCTTATATGAAGCCAGGTAAACATTCGAGTATAAGCCCACACACTACCAACCATAATACAGCTGTTGATGCTTACCAGGCCTTGTGTATTTTGCCTAGATTGTTGTACTTGGGAGTGAGATTCTGAACTTCATCTTTTTCTTCTGATGGGAAAAATTTGTAGTATCTAAAATTCTATTTCTTTTATTTTTCTTGCCTGATGCAGTATAATAAATCTAACTTTCAAGGTGGGATGAAACTGAAGAGTTTTTTCTATTACAGCTACGGAGAAGAAAGAAGTGGAAACTTATAGCAGTGTCAAAAATGTCCTGAAGTGTTGTCCCCACAAGTCTTTTGTTCAAAAGCAGTTCATTTTCTTCTGTTGTCTCCATTACTGTGAGAAAAGGGAGCTGTATCACACTGTTTGTCTTCCCTTGGCATTGTCAGTATCATAAAGAAATACCATTACATGAATTCTACATAGTTCATATTACACCAGCACTTCCTAGGTTCTATCCATCATGGGTATGTCCCTGCTTTTACATGCTGTACAACCATAACATTATATCAAGTTCAGCCGCTTTATTTTATCTTCGAAAAAAATAACATGGGCTTTGTTTCAGCAGAGCCTCTAAACATTTTACACCACATATTACTTCAAATCTTGAACTTAAGCATGTATTAAAAGAATTTGTTGCTGTTGGGCCTTGTAACTCTGGGTAAATTAAGGTTTTTTTTCAGTTCTTTGCTTAAATATGGTAGTGTTACTATATAGAAATTAAAATGCCACCTTTGTATCCAACAAACCACTTCCTTTGTTTCCACTAACATAAAGAAAGAAGCAAGTTTTGTTCCTATAAGCAGTAATTTGATACATTGGTGGACAGACTATTGACTGAATTTTATTGTAATGCAGAAATTCTGTCAATGAATGAGGTATGACACTAAAAAAATACATGTTGTCTTCTAGATGCCAAGCTAAATATGAAAAATTTAAAGTTGGGGAGGGAGTTTCTCCTTCAGTGAAAAATTAATTGAAAACATACATATCTCTCTCAAACTGTAGAGAAATTTTAAGAATATAAGGTAGTTTTCTACAGCTGCTTAGTGAAGAAAACTTACTGGAAAGCTAACTTCATGTATTCTCAGCTTTAGGGATTTGCCCAAGTTTGGCCTTTACATTACCATTGCATTTAGAAGATTAATTACGTCAGGTATGAGCAGATCTGCAGTAGTTCTAAGCTAATACTTCCAATAAAAATCACTGTGAACAAGTAGAAGCTCTTGTAGTAACATCTAAATGTTCCTGCAAGACTGGAACAGTCCATGCCAGAATTTTGCCACAGATCTTCACGCAAAGTGATGCCACTGCTGGCTGATTGTAAGTCCTGCAGTTTTATCTTCAGGCTGTTGTGTAAACACATCTAAGCAAGATGTTAGTGTAGTAGTTCAAGCAGTCACTGCAGAGTACCAAATTCAGGTCATGGCAAGCAGGTTTTCTTAACTGGCTTTCAAATGCAACCTAAATCTATAGTTTTCCCTCAGCTAGCTAGACTGAATAAAAGCTTGGTACTAAATGCAAATTAGATGC